CGAGAAGCTCCCGACTCTGTTTCTCTTCCCCTGAAGAAAAATAGCTTAATTTCTGCAGTTTGATAGATTTTCCTGAGCCTTCAAAAGGTAGAGAAAGACTCTTGAAAATCGGTCGTTGAACTATCCACAGGCATTTTATAATGGCCGTAAATAGGCCTGTACTGAATAGCTCTCCAGGCATCAGCTTGAATGGTGTCCTTGACACTGTTATTATTATCCCCACGGAAAAAAAAGGGAAGAAAGAAAGGAAACAGAAAGTCTGGGAGCCTCTCCACGCCGCAGTTGGTGCTTCTCCAGGCGCAGGAGCTGAACTGCCCCCGCCGGATCTGCGCCCCCAGAATGTGCCGCTCTTCACTTCCCAGAATCCCCATAAATTTCATGGAATTTCCTGCACAAAACAAATCGATGCACACTCGAAATTTTGCAAACTTCGGAGCAAACGAAGTGCAGGAAGTTGGGGGGAATTTATCTTCTGTCTTTTGGCCCCTTTGCCCACCTAAATCTTCGGTTGCTTTGCATCAGGGAATGTGTTTTTAGAACTTCCATGTTACTGTCACACACTGCGTCTCTCACCTTTCCCTGGACCCGTCCTTTCCACCGCAGATCTCGTGGGATTGTGTCACCAGAGACACTAATCAGCAAGAGCAATTTCCTCGGCATAAATAAGGTGCTTTCATTTCTTGAAAGCCACTCTGATTTTGCCAGCCCCCTCACAGGGCAAAAATAGCGCGCCCTAGAAACGTCAGCGGCGCGTATGGATTTCTCTCCATGGAAAACCAGCGCAGCCATCAGCCACGGAGCAGCCTCGGAGCCTTCCCATGCAGGGATGCTCTGCCAGGGTGTGGGCTGTGCTGCAAGTCACAGAATCGTGGAATGGTTTGGGTTGGAAGGCACCTTAAAGCTCATCCAGTGCCACCCCCTGCGGTGGGCAGGGACACCTCCCACTAGCCCAGGTTGCTCCAAGCCCCGTCCAACCTGGCCTCGGGGCAGATCCATGGCAGCTCAGTATCTGAGCCCAGGGAATGCTCCTCAGTCCCTCCCCTTCCTGTAGGGGGTAAACCCAATAAATCTGCATTTTTACCTCACGGCCCATTTTTAAAAGTGAATAAAAGCGGCCGAGCCTAGAGGTGGATGCGGTCCCTGCTGCGGGAAGAGGGGACGGCATGGAACAAGGCACTGCTGGCTCTGCCAGCCGCTGCTCCATCCCTCTCCGCATCCTCTGGGATCCACTCGGTCCCTCTGCGTCCTCTGGGATCCACTGGCCCGCGCCTCCAGCACAATCCCAGCATTCGGGGGTGGCTTTTCCCTCCCGCCGAACGGCAGGCTCCTGGCAGCGCCGCCGCCGCTTCCCGGCACTGCCAGCGCTAATTGCTCCCGGTTCGTTAGGGAGCGACAGCCGCCCTCCCTCACCCCCTCCGCGGGGGCTCCGGGGCTGCCTTTCCTGGAAGTGTTTCCTCCCCGGGCCGCTGCATTTCCGCATCAATCCATAATTGATGCCAGGGTGGGATTTCTTGCCCCACCGGTGGGTCCCGAGCTGGGATTCGGTGTGGAGCGATGGGCCACACCCTGTGTGATCCTACCCTCGGTATTCCCGCCGTGCTGGTTTCAGGGATGTGGTGACACGGATGGGGACATGTTTGGATGGAAACCTCCCTCCGTGTGCTCGTTATCGGGGACGAGCTTCACCCCGAGGTGTCCAAGTGCCAGTGCAGGAGCCTCCCTCGCCCTTCCCAAACACATCAGACATGTGGCTGGCAGCCTCCCTGTCCTGGAAAGGTGCCCCTGGGGACGACTTTTCAGCTCTGCTTTGCTGGGAAAGCTAAAATCCCCAAATCAAACTCTCTCTTTCGTGCCCCAGCCCACCCACTGGTTACATAATTCCCAGCAGTAATGAGCGCTCCGAGTTTTTAAGCCGTCGGTTAATTGTCTCCCTCCTCCCCAGCAGTGCAGAACAGACAGAGCAGGCACGAAATGAATCCCACAAAACCACAGCTGACAGGTTTAAAAATCTATTTTCCTGCAAGGAACTACGGGAAGGACGGGTGATTAATGGAGACTATGAAGAAAAGGTTTTATCCAGCAGATTAATTTCAACGGGTGTTTAAATCCTTAGCGGAGCTGGACAAGGTGCTCAGGGGAGACGCTGGGGGGGCTCCCAGGGACTGACTGGGCAGTCACCCTTCCCAGCTCCGTGGCCTTGCCTGAATCCATAACCCACCTCCCTCTCTGGGTCCACTGCCCTTCCCAGCAGTGCATGGAATTCCAAAAGCTGTGCTCCATATCCCAGGCCTCTGTTCCCCCCTCAGCAGTGGCCTCTGGCCCTTGTCCCTCGTGCCTCTCAGGTGCTGTTTTGCAGCATCCAGTCCAAGCAGTCTGGATGGAATTTGGAGGAATTCCTAATTTTACATATGGATTTACCTGGGAGAACCTGCCCCTGTGTCCTTGCCCACGGCAGGGGTGAGATTTAAGGTCCCTTCCAACCCAAACCATTCCAGGATCCTGTGATTCTACAAGGGGCTCCCCCCCCCATCCAGTGCTCCATGAGCAGCTGGACGGTTTGGAAAAGGGAAGAGCACAGCAAATTGACACTGCAAGGAGCAATCAGGGCTGCAGCTCGCTCTGTTTCCCACTTCCCATGGCAAACCTTCCCCTGGGACCGCATGCGCCTGACCCTAAACTGTGCCCATTTTCCAAGCCAATGCACTTGATGGGAACTCATCTCCCTGCTCCCCGCCGGCATCCCTGGGGTGGGACACGGCCGGGGTTGGGTTGGCTGAGTCCCTGCATCCATTTCGTGGAGCAGCTCTGCACAGATTGCATTGGGGCTCTGCTCTGATTTGTTCCTGCTCCTTCCAGCTCAGCAACACCCTCAGATGAGCCCATTATCAACACCTTGACTCGGCTTTTTCGGGGTGTTTGCTGCCCTTTTCCATGTTCTGTAAAAATCCATCTGCCCGTGTTCCCACCCGCTGTCCCATCCCACTGTGGTGGCACCAGGGAAAGGGGCCAGGGCTGGGCCTCCTCTCTCCTCCTCCCTCCTCCTTGTGCTGGGCCAGCAGCACCATCCCTGTGTTTGTTCCTGCAATGAAATGGATTTTAACCCATTTTCTGTCTGAACCCATTTTTTTAACAAAAAAGGCCAAATTTAATCTTGCAGGACATGCAGATTCCAGTGTAGTTTCAATGCTGGACGCATCAGTTTCCTCTCCCTGTGCTGTACACTGGGAGTAGCTCCTCGGGAGTGAGTAAATGCCTGTTTAAAGTTATTTACATCAATAAATAAATATTTACCCCCATTTTAAGCCACTCGAGTCCTTTGCAAACAGGTTCCAATTTACAAAAATCAATTAAAACCCCACATTCTAATGCACCGACCACAGCGATGTTCCCGGAGATGTCACTCCGCCTGCATTCCAAGCCCCAAATCAGCATTCCAAAAGCTCTGCTGCTGAAAGAGCAGAAAGTTTCACCTTTTAATTTTTCATAGCGGATTAATTTTTAATTTTCCGACATCAGAGAGAGGGGGAAGTTCCCCAGGAGCCTCTCCCGCTTCAAAGCGCGCTCCAGGCAACCACTGGATCGAGTGTCAATTTATCACACCAGAGGCTCTGCTCCACATTTTTCATGACTTGTTTTTTGTTCAGACAAAAGTAGTAAAGCTGGGGAAGTTTTCTAAAAACCGAGAACAGCCTGGACAGGAGCAAACCCTGTTTTCCTCCTGTCTCAGCTCCCTAGAAACGGTGTTAAGCCCCATCCCTGGACAGCTGGGACTTTCCCCAGGAATTATTTCCTGTGAGGGTGGGGAGGCCCTGGCACAGTGGAGCTGTAGGTTTTAATTCCTGTGAAATGAGTGCCAGGTCCTCCCTTTGTGTGTGTGTGTCCACACAACCCCCCTGGCACTGTGGGCAATGAGGAGCTGGCACATCCCCTCCCGGCTCTGGAACCCGGGATTGTACAGGCCCTGCTCCGTGACCTTTGGGACGGGGCTGCGTCGATGCTCCCGAGCCCAGACCCACCTTCCAATGTCAGGGTTAAAAATGACTCCACTGCCCTCCCTCTCCCGCGCTGCCGGCTCATCCCGGCCTTGTCAGAACACATCCTCTAGTTAGAGCTTGGAAATATTTCCCTCCTGGCTCCCAGCTATTGATTTTCCAAGGCTCAGCTCTGCCCAGCAGCTCAAGGAGAGCAGAGGGTTCTCCGGGCGCTGCCTCTGCCCCTTCCCTCCCTGGATCCCCACGCTCCCTCAAGCCCCACAGCACCAGAGCTCATCCCCAGGCAAACTGGTCCCAATTTACAAACCCCTGTGCTCCCCGGGCAGAGGCAGAACCTGCTCCTGAGGGCTTGAAATGCTGAATTACAAATAAATCTCTTTCCCAGGGCACCCCGGCCTGTGCAGCTGGAGAGAAGCACTTCCAGGCAGGATGAGAGACACGGCACAGCCCATACACACTTGGGAATCTACTCATGGAAACACAAGGAGGAACATGGCCAAGCAGGAAGGCAGATGAAAAGTGAGCCCTTTGGAAGGAAGGAGGGAAGGAGAAGCGCTTCCACAATGTAAGAGGTCATTTTGGATTCAAATATGACATTGTTAAAGTTCTGCTGTGCCCACACAGCCAAATCGCTGTTTAGAGGTAAAACAGAAAGCTGGGATTCCAGAGGGAAGGAAGGACCCACCCTCCGTCCATCCCGCTCTCTCCCTGTCACAACTCAGTAACAAGAGCTCACTAATGGATCAGCTTAAGTATCCAACAGCTCCAATCACTGCTCTAGAAAATAATCAATCAAGCACTTAATTTGTAACATCGGCAAGGAGCTGCCCAGAGACCATGGAATAAATTATCCAGCACAGGTGTGATCCAAACCAGGGCAAATCTCTGAGTCACCATCTTCTCCAGCCTCCTCAGGGAGTGTAACTCGCCCCAGCCTGACTCGGGGGGTGCAGAGAGGACCCCAAACACCAGCATAAAGGACTCTCAGAAAGACACACGGCTCAGTCATTTCTTCCAAAAAAGTTTAATTGAGATTCCATCCTTATGGCAAACAACACACAGTAGGATTATCCAAATGGGCTGTGTTACAGCAGTGGAAGTCCTTGGTCGATCTGCAATGCATATGTCGGGCTACAAGCGAGTATCTGTGCACATCTGGCATTAACAGAACCAAAGGAACTGCTCCCACTTGCAGCCTACACTCCACGGTGACTCCCAGCTCTCTGGGGTGGTGGGAAGGGAGAGTACACCGAGCTTTTAGGTACGCCTAGGAAAAACCTGGCCCCTCTGAACTCAGCTGTGCCTTCCCCACTGCCTCCAGGGGAGGGCAGGAGGCCAGTTCAGACACCCTCCACACACCTCTCGGTGTCACAGCACCTTTTGGAAGCTCCCACCTTCTCTGAAGCGCAGCCAGGACCGTGGGAGAGGTCAGAGAGGAACTCAAAAGAGAAAAACTTTGACCCAATAGAGAAAAGACAAAAGCCACTGGAAAGGGCTGAGGAAGGCACGTGCATAGATGGGATTCATCCCTCCTCAGGGCAGACACTCACCCAACCCAGCGACACTGGCTGTGAGAGACGAGGGACTCCTCATGAACCTCTGTTAAAACTAACCTGTGACAACAAACAGTACCACCAGCCCTGAGAGACAGGCCCCATCTGCTAAAAGCTGGAAAATTAAGTGGTTTCTACATGATGGTCTAATAGCAGCAACAGAGTAATTATCCCATTATGTGGTTAGAACAGTCAGAAGTGAATTTTAAGTACCTCTTATTAGTGGGGACAAACATAATGCCTCAGAATCAGTGCCAGCTCGTACTTTCAGGACTCTCTCCAGTATGGAAATGGAAAGCCAGTCTGTATTTATAGCATCACAAGGTTCATATGAAGGTAACCTTCACTCTCCACACTTGTAAATGTGCTGGTCACAGCCTGCACCACCCGAAGGCCATGTCCCCTCCAGCTGGGAGGAAACAGGAGTAGGAAGATTTGATAAACCAGATCCTTTTCCACTGAGCCCTAAGTGTCACACAGAGAAGGGGGAACAGAGGAGAGATGTAAGGCCAGCGTTGCCAGACATACTGGACATTTGTGCTCCTTTTTCCTGCCAAGGCAGCGAGCAGAGACCAAGGATGGAGCAAGAGAGGGAGAAGAGATGCCTCTGGCTCCCTGCCACTGACACAGGCACAGGCTTGGAGGGTCAAGGAAGACTTAGTTCTGCGAGGGACAGCGGTGACGCAGGAGGTTCCAGCACTGCAGCAGTCTCAGCCTGCCTCACCCTGGGAAGCAGCTATGGCAGTGGAGACAGGCAGCTCTCCAGAGGTAGCAGGGATTCACACAGCCCCACGGCAGCACTCGGCCCACGGGCTGCTCAGCACATCCATGCACTCCTTTAGTATCCTGCCCTTAGTTCTTCCAGCAGGACAGGACGAGATAAACCCCTGGCACACCACCGGAGGCCTCTTCTCTCCTTAAACACTGTTCTCCAAAGAGCAGAGGTTCAAACTGCTCGTCCCTCATCTTTACCTGAGCAGATCAACCTGGATGAGCAGCGTGGCTTCCCAGCCAGCCCCAGTGATTGCCAGGAACCAGCCTGCACTGCCCCAGTCCCGGCGTTTCAGTGCTAAGGACATCAAGTAAACGTGCACCCAAGGTGACAGCGGCACTACCACAGGTATGGCTCAGTCCCACTAAACAGGGTCACAGCTTGGCTCCCACCCGGGAGGGGAGGTCCCTGTGCCTCGAGGGGACACTGCCTGGGGGGCTGAGTGGGGACAGCCTGTCAGCAAAGCCCCTCCTGGCCCAGAGCAGCTGGGGCTGCCCCCCCAGGCATCTGCAATGTAGGGATGTAAATCACTCCTCACTGATCATCTCCATTTAAATAACATCAGTTCAGCCAGACCGATCCCACCTATGGCACTCCATAGGGATCCCACAAAAACCACAGCACTGTGGCACAGTAGAAAGCACAGAGTAGATCTATAAACCTTCTGGAGAGCAAGCCTGACTTCCTAAATTTACGTAATCAAACTGAGAAAGCCCTTTTTAATAAAAATCATAATAATTTAGAAAGCCGTTCTGCTTAACAGATAAGCCAGCATGTTTCCATACATGCTCCTGCTAGATCTGGAACACGCAGTTCCAATGGAACGTGTTCTTCAGTATCACCCAAGCAGGCTTATTCCTTTCAATTTATGCTCTTCAGATGCTTTCCTGCAGATAATGACCATGTTTTTTCTAGAAAATGTAAACAATTTTTGTGCATTCTACTATCCCAGCTAAGCTTTCACTGGAAGTTTCTGGCAGGAGAAAACCAAACAAAACAAAGCCTTATCATTATGCCCTAAAAAAAAAAATATATATATATATACATACACACATTATTAAAAAGCATTAGAAGTCACTTGATCTCCAAAGTCTCCAAAGTCAGCTGCAAAGTCCCTCTCAGAAGGGACATCTGGTGACTGTGCTGGCCAGACTGCACCTTAAGCAAACCCAAAATAACTGCAGCTTGACCTGGCAGGCTGAAGTTCACGCATTTGTGACCAACCTGCACACAAATAAACCCTGCATAGAAATAGAAGCTAATTTGAAAAAGCTGTGAGAGTTCTCAGTGCTGGACTCTGGCTAAGTGCCACCGGGGTCGGGTGACACGAGATCTCCTCAGGCTTGACAGGATAAATGCCCTTATTTCCCTACTTCCTACAAACTCTTCTCAAACAAAGAAAACATAAGAAAAATGACACCAAAGCCAAGTTTCCCCCCCGTGCTGTCACGGGAGAGCCCACCAGCCTGTGAGTATGTCCCAGGAGGGGCTGGGCCAGGGTGTCCCTCGTTGCCTGGGGCCGTTGCCGTGTGCAGGGCAGGTTGCCGTGGGGGCACAGGGTGGCTGTGCAGGGCTCACAGGGGCCATGCTGGGCTCACAGCGGCTGTGCCGGGCTCACCACGGCCGTGGCGGGCTCACAGGGGCTGGTTGGCGAAGAAGGCCTTGGTCTCCCTGCAGACGGGGTTGACGCAGAGCGGGCAGCACAGGGTCAGCTGGCGGGAGCACACCTCGTTGGACTGCAGGTGGGAGCACACCAGGTCTGCCAGGGCCTGCGGGGCAGGGGGACAGTCAGGGGAGCCAGCCCGGACCCGCTGGAACGTGGGCCCTGCCAGGCTGCCAAACTCTGCACCCCCTCCTCACAAAACCTCCACTAACTGCGGCAGAGCAAACACCCTGCTGCAACAGATTAGGTACAAGGGGTTCCACTTCTGCTCCTAAGCTCAAAATATGTTAAAGCTACAGGGAAACATCCACACTCCAGGAAACACACAGCTGCAAACCTTTACAGCAACAAAGCACATACCTTGGAGAACAGCGGATTTCCATTGAGAGACTCTGCTCTCCTGATGTTTTCAACTCCACACTGAATCAAAATCGAAAAGGAAAAAAAAAGTTAAATCTGCTAGGTCCTTCACAATCTCCATACTTCATTCAGAAGTTGCCTCAAAAATGACAGAATAAAAAGCAGCACCATGTTTTTTTAATACAGCAAAAATAACTATGGTGCAACACTTCACTTGGCTGCCAAAAAATCAATAATTCTTTTTTAGCAATAGTAGCAATAGCTTAAAGAGTTAAATCTAGAAAGACAAATTCCCACCTGTTTTGTGGTTAAGCCAGTTCAGATTAATTCTCAATTTGCAGAAAAATAAAGCTTGCCCTGAATCATATTGCAAGAAGCAGCTACAAAGCAAATTGTAGCTTAGGAGAAGTAATTTCAGAGCAGCACTGCCCAAACAGGTACAAAACCCACAAATCATTCACCTCATTTGCTAAAACCTGGGAATACTCGATATCCAGCTCATACAGGGTTTCAATGTGGTCACTTGTAAATGCTATTGGGACCAACAACATGTTCTTCTTTCCTCGTTGGCACAGTCCTTTAATGGTCTCGTCTGTCTGGGGACCGAGCCAAGGCATTGGGCCAACCTGGAACAAAAACAGGGAAATAAAGAAAAAAAACTTCATTAAATCATTCTTACAAACAACACTCACGTGTTCTTAGGCAGGACCACACAGAGCAGATTATGGATAGGATAGGAACAGTTATTGGTATTCCCCTGCTTTTGAGTGTTCTTCTCACTTTCATCATTAAATCCCAAAGGAACAGAACCTGGGCTGGCCTGAACAAGGCTATGGTTAAAACAAATGAAAATGTAAATAAAGGTGCACTGTTTGCAGTTCAGTAAAACCCTGCAGAGGCTTTACCTGCCTCAGCTTCCCTGAGCACACACCTTGGACTGCCACACGAGCCTGTAGGGGTTGGAGTAGTTGAGCTTCTCCATGACTCTCTGGACTGTGGCTCCCACTTCTTGAGGATACGGATCACCACGGTTCACCACCTGCAGCACAAACACACCAGCCCTTTCTCTTCCAGGGAACACATTTGCCTGGCACATCCATCCCCTCAGGGCTGACAAGGGCAGGAGAGCCTGAGGTGACTCACAGACATGGGCAGCGAGTGGGCCGAGAAGAGGATCACCACGTCTTTCCTTTTGTCCGGAGGGAACAGGTTCAGTTCCTTCTGGATGTGATCAGCGAAGCACTGCTCAGAGAAACAAGGAGCAGGGATCTGAGTTCAGGAACACTGGGAGGCACTGCTGCTCTCCATGACCCAGACAGGCAGCACATTTCCTTAAGAACTCCCAAATTCCCTTCAGTGTGCACCATGTCCAGGGAATGGCACCCAGCCTGCTCAAACCTTCCAGTTATCCCTCCCCAGTACTTGTTTCTATGTTTTAAAAGAAAATATATAAACCTGAAAGGCTTCAAATGCACACCTGAATGAGAAGGGGATGTGTGGGCCACCGGTCGATAATGCTCCACTTCATCTTCGGCTTCTCCCCTTTCTCATTATAGTAACGATAGATGGCATTCAAACTGCTCCCTGAAACACGGAGAACGCAGAACACGAGTTCAGCCAGGCCTCAGCCACCTGTCAGACTGAAACGGCTCGCAGCAAGGTATTAACATATTTTAAATTGCTACATAATTAAAATGCAGCTGTAAATCAGAGCTGAGAGGCTCAAAGGGGAAGGGTTATGCCCACGGTCACACAATGGAGCCATGTTACTGAGCTCAGGCAATTTACCTGAGCTCACAGCCAGGGCTGCCTCTGCCCTGCTGGGACGCTCACCTGTGGTGGAGCAGCTGTACTGGGGGTACTGGGTGAAAGCAACGGCCCTCTCGATGCCGTCCTTCTCCATCTGCTCGATCGCCTCCTCCGTCAGCGGGTGCACGTAGCGGAACCCGATGTAGTACTTGTGAGGCGCTGCCAGCCCGGGCACAGGGAGAGGAATTGCACAAAAGGGATGAGAACTCGCAGTAACACGTCATTCACAGCCAAAATGTACGAGAGCCACACAGGCTGAAACTGCTGAAACAAGCTGGTTGGTAATTTCCTGGCTACTTTTCTAACCACTGCCATGCAAACCCATCTTTCTTTGGCCAAGCAATTTTCTGGTACCTCACTTCACTGTGATTAGAATTTAAAAGGGATTTATGCTGTGGTTTGCTTCTGCTGGAACATCACTCTCCTCCTTTTCCCCACTTTAGCAGAGGTGTGGTTTCCAGCCTGGACAAAGCCCTGCTCTTTCACTGGGCAAGTCCTGATTTCAGGGATGCACTGGTTAAAAAAGTGTCACTAAATGAATACTTGGATGTCCCCAGTGGCACCAAAGCCCCAAGGACCAGGACTATTGTTTGGGGCAGGAGGGCAGTGGCACTGAAACAGGGACATGTGCTCTTTCATTCTGCTTCTGGAGGAGGCTCACAGAAATCTTCATGGCTTTAAACACTTTATTTTGGAGGCAATGTTATGCTCTTCAAGGACACTTCAGGTTTCCCATCTCTAATCTTTTAGGTGTCAGCTCTGGGAGCACGGCTTGGTTAGGGGGAGGGAGGGGAGGTTTGCTGTTTTGTTTTTTTAAGTAGAGGACAGAGGTTCTCAGGAGAACAAAGCAAAGTTTCTTTTTCGTGGTTTCTGGGTCACTGGCTCTGAAACAACGTTTAGCAGGTTTCTGAAGGAAGCAGATGTCCCGTGCTTGGGCTGCGCTCCATACATTTATGCCGGATTCAGAAAACAGGTTTAGTCAGCCCCAGTTCTCTGCAGGAGGCAGGAGAGGTCCCAGCTGGGAGCAGCAGCAAATAATAACCCAACTTGGGGAGCCCTCGGAGCCAGTAACCTCATTAACATTTTTGAATGGCATTAAGGACCAGAGTCTGACTAACCACAGCAGGGACAGGAGGAGTTTAACCTGGCAAAGAACATTCTGGGGGAAATCAAGGCCAGCCTGTGAGCACACAGTATTCCCAACTGCTCAGCCTGCAAGCACATCCCACTGTTCCAAGCTATTCGGAAGGAACACAGGACTCTGCATGGATGCAAGGTCACTTGGAATGCTGAAGGAAATGGTTAGCAGGGCTCAGCACATTCCATTGTCAAACTGCAGCTGGTAAAAAAGGAGTCTCCAAAGGACTTATCAGGTGTGACAGGAGCACAGAGGTGGGTGTGACTGCACAGAGAGGGCTCACCAAACAAAAGTGGGAGTGGGACACTGGGAGAAGCAGATAAACCTTCCAAGCCTTATCTGCAGAACCTGCTGCAAGCCTGACCCTTCAGGGGCTCCTGCTCTAAGAACACTCCTGCCTTGGGTGCCACAGCAGGCCCCTGACTGTACCTGCAGGGACCACAGCTGGAATTAAGCTAGGGAGCCACATCGGTGGAAAAAGGGATTGACCAGCACCTGAATGAAAGCACCAGGGACATGTTACACACTGAACAGATGAAATGAACTTGGTTCTAGCCTTCCAAGAGTGTTACTTCTTATCTTCCAGACCCTTTCAGCAGTCTTCTAACTCCTATTCTAGCCTCTCCTATCCAAGCCTGACACCGGTGCCACAAAGAACTATAAAATAGCTTGGAATGAAATAACCTCTATTGTCAAGCATGGAAGGGATTCCCTGCCACACCAGCATCACATCAGCAAAGGTCATGGACACTGGAGGGAGCAGAACACTTGCAGCACCACACGTGGTAAAGCTGCTGAGCTGAAGAGAATGGAGAGCTCTCTCCCCTCTTTGGCTTCTCTTTACTCCAGCAGTTTTCCTTCAACAAATGTTTCGTGCTCCCGTTTCACATACAAGCCACAGCTCCTTGCTGGGAGGGAGCAAAGTTCAGAGAGAGGGGAAGGACTGGCAAGGAGAGCATCTCCTTCCACCCCAGCCCAACTGTCTGGCCTTATCTCCTGCCGTGCCCCAGGTGGGGCTGTGCTATCGCTGCGCCAGGCCCTGCAGTGCTCATCTGCAGAGCCTTGTCTTGGCTTCCAGCTGAGCTGCTCAGCCCAAATCGTGCTGAGAACACTCCCCTGAGCCCCCGCCCAGGCAGCCCAGCAGTACCAGTGCGAGGGGACATGCTGTCCAGCAGCTTCACCATGCCTTCTCCCTGCACTGCCGTCCACTTCTTGATGGGGGAGCCGCCGCCGATCCTGCTGTACTGCTCCTGGATTTTCGGGGTGCGGCGCTTGGCGATGAACGGGGCCAGTTTACTGGAGCGTTCCAGAGGGACATGGTTAATGGCAGAGCCCACAACACCACCCCCTTCCCCACAGCCCTGCTGCAGCAGGTTTGCTGTGGCAATCTCCCCACACTACAGCAAACCAGCACTGTGTGGTTTGTTTGTTTTTTCCATCCCCCTTCCCACAGTTCAAACCGCACGAGAACAACCTTGGCACAGCTATTTCTAACACCGTCTCTTGCACTGTCTGCTCCCAGGATGAACAGTCTCAGCAAATGCTGCTTTACAGAGGGTAAATATCTGAGCCTAGAGCTCAGGCAGCAAGAGCCCACCCTGCCTGTGCCACAGGAGACCCCAACGCTCCTCACTTTTGAGCCGGCATCGTCATTAGGTCTCTGTCCAGGAAGAGACGCAGTAGGAAGTCATGGACATCATCCAGCCGCTCCGGGCCTCCCATGTTCAGCATCAAGATGCCAGTTTTAGGTTTCCTATGGAAACAAGAGAGAGTTCACATCCTAGTGACCTACTGCTTTTGTTTTTATTACTGTGACGAAACAACCAGCTTATCCTCCCACTTCTGTCCTTTGCAAAGGCAGCTCTTACAGGCAGCTCTTATTCAGAGGCTCCTCCTGCTCACATAAACACACCAACTACCAGCAGGAATGGCCAGAGACAAGTATTTACATGATCTTTGCTTTTTTAAACAGTAACCACTTTGTAACACAGGCCTGACCTGGAAACACACTGAGAAAGCTGTCTGGCAGCTGCAGGTTCTAAAGGAGGTTATAAAACAGAATCTAAGGAACGGTCTCAGCTGTAGATTCCAACCAAACCAAGCAACAGCTTCCTCAGGAAACAGATGAGCCACCCATACAACTCTTTGTCTTCATTACAGTGGGGACACATCTCGTCTCCTGCAGTAGTGACAGCAGCAAGGAGCCATTCTACACGTAAGGTCATTGCAGGGCTTGTTCTGTTTGGGTTGTTGGTTGGGTTTTTCCACAATGGATTTTCTATCCAGGTGCAGGTCTGGTACTCTGTTTGTAAGGATAACATCCCTCCCAGTGGAGCAGAGCAGAGGGCGGTATCAGCATTTACAGAAAGGCTGCTGATCACACCTCTCACCCACTTTCCCCATGGAATAGTTTGCCCCGCCCAGGGGAACCCAGGGACCAGGATTTCTCACTTCTTGAGCAGAGCCAAGGCTGCACAGAGAACTTTGCACTCCTCTTGTTAAAGCCAAAGTCTTACAACAGGGCACTGAGAGGAGCCCAGGCCTGTCCAACGGTCTCAGCTTCCATTCCCTTCCTCCTGGAGTGTCTATCAGGAGGTTGCTGAATAAAACCCAGGCAGCAGGAACCAGAACCATAATAACCATAATTCCTGCTCTTCCACTGCTCCTGCACCGCCTCAGGCGTGTGGTGGGCCAGGCCCTCGCGGAGCTCTGCAGGAACCACGCTGTCCCTGCCCCCAGGACTGAGCACAGGAGGCTGGGGCAGTGCAGCCGGGCAGATAAACAATCACACACACCAACCAGCCCCAGCCCCGCTGGCTCTGCAGGGACAGCAGCTCAGTATCAGGGAGAGCCAGAGGGCTGCAGAGCGGGGCCCACCCGTGCACACCTACCGCTCGTGGGGCTGGACCTGGGGCTTGGTGCTCTCCGTCACCACCGCGGCCGCCGCCCGGCCCTGCCATCGCACCGGCACCCGCAGCTGGGGGCTGCTCCTCGCCACTGCAGGGGAGAGAACAGCACACTGAGGGCATGGCTGAGGGGCCAGGACAGCGCCAATCCCCCCCCAGCCACACCAACACGCTCAGCATTTGCTCCCTTAAGCTCCAGGCCCTGGAATCAAAGCAAGTCAGGAAATCACAAGCTTCTGTCTTTCTTTGTGCACTTTGTATACTTCCAGCTCTGCAGATATCAGGCAGCAACCAAAACCCAAACCAAAGCCTCCCTAATCTTTAAGCTCCACTCTGAAGCGTGAAATAACTGGAGACAACCACACCCACCTCCCTCTCCATCTCACTTGGAGCCCCTTTAGGCACTGGATGGAGCTCTCAGGTCTCCTTCCAACCCATTCCATACGATTCCATGCTGGTCACAGCCTGCCTTCTCAAAGGCACACTTCATTCTCCCCAGGAGCTCATAGTCATTACATGATGTTTTTCAGTGTAACAATAGTGAGAATTGCTCACGATGTAAAAAGGGTTCAGTTCCGTCCCCCAGCTATTGTTGGGTGGAATTACTGTTGGGCGCGACAGTTCCCTGTCAGACCACGGGAGCTCGGCAGCAATTGAGCCCCGATAGCACAGAGCTCCTCGGCAGCCGACCCACCCGCTGGGAAGAGCATCCTCTGGCTCACAGTTCCCTAATAACCTCCTGAACAGACGCTGAACAGCCTCAAAACCGGCTGAAATCAATGACAATCCAGCTTCTTACTTGGGATTACGAGTGCGTAGCTGCGGACGCCTGTGAATGTGCTGATAGAAAAGGCTGCACACTAAAGAACTTCAATTCAAGCATCGCTGATGCCTGAAAGGCTCTTTTCAAACACAAATATTTATGTTTCTTCCAGTTCTTAGTTTATTATCTTTGAGACACTGACACTACATACAAATTAGAGAGAACAATAAAAGGAGAAGTTGCAAAGGCTGCATTGATCTTTCTGCACTGTTAAGCATTTGTTCTTCCCCCAGAGAGTGCTCTGGGCAGTGGTCATGGCATCAGGGCTGCCAGAGCTCAAAGAGCTCTTGGACACAGCTCTCAGGCACATGGTGGGATTTTGGACACTCCTGTGAAGGGCCAGGAGTTGGACTCGATAATCTTTGGGGGTCCCCTCCAACTCTGGATGTTCTGCCTTACTTAAAGTGAGGTTTATGCACATTTCTGTCTGCATCACGAAGGACACAGAACAGGACGTGCAATGACAATCCCAGCTTGCTGGAACATTGTTAAAAATGGGGGTTTACATATTTTGTAAGTGGCATTATGGTATTAAACTCTGGAGCTAGAACTGGTGCCCAGGGTGGGTAAGCACACGGGTGCCTCTCAGTAGGACACCAAGTTACTCTGCTTTTACAGCAGTACCTGGACAATGCATTTATTAATTATAAAGATGAAGTAGCAGAGTTCCTGCTGAAGGAACTCATGGACTTGAGTGACCCGGCAAGGGTCTCTCACAGGAGAGCGGCTCGTTGGCAATTTCCCCTCCACAGAGGGAAAAATTATTACAAATACAGAAAATCAGCGAGATGCTGAGCCTGAGGCAGCAGACGGCACATTCAGGTGTGCGAGGGGAGCCCCGAGCCCGCTGCCCGCAGGTGAGGAGACCCCGTAGGTGAGGAGACCCCTGAGCCCGCTGCCCGCAGGTGAGGAGACCCCGTAGGTGAGGGGACCCCTCAGGTGAGGGGATGCTCGAGACTCGCGGCCCTCAGGTGAGGGGATGCTCGAGACTCGCGGCCCTCAGGTGAGGAGACGCTCGAGACTCGCGGCCCTCAGGTGAGGGGACGCTCGAGCCTCGCGGCCCTCAGGTGAGGAGACGCTCGAGACTCGCGGCCCTCAGGTGAGGAGACGCTCGAGACTCGCGGCCCTCAGGTGAGGAGACGCTCGATTCCCACGGCCCTCAGGTAAGGGGACCCCGCGGGCGGGGGGATTCCCAAACCTCATAGCCCTCAGGTAAAGAGACCCCCGAGCCTCGTAGCTCTCAGACAAAGAACCCTCGCAGCCCTCAGCCCATTTAGCGGAAATCCCACCATCGCGCTGCCCAGCCCTGCCCGCACGCCCCGGTAAATGAGCGGCCCCAGAGCCCCCGGGGCAGCAGCAGCCGCAGCCCCGCCGGCCTCCGCGCGGATCAGCGTTACGAAAGGCGCCTCTCGGCGTTGTGTAACGCGGTCCCGGCGGCGCCGCCGCCCTCCTGCCCTCGCACCCCGCGGTGACCGGGAGCCCTCACGCCCCCGCCGCCCCCAGAGCCCCGTTCGGCCATCGCGGCGGTGCCGCCTCACTCACGGTGCCGTCCCGCGGCAGCAGCGCCGGCGGCAGCAGCGGCCGCCATCTTGGCCGCCCGCATTCCCTCAGACAGCGCCAGCGCCGCTGCCGCCGCCCCTCGCCTTGCACCGTCTCGGTACAGACAACACCGCCCCCGGGACCGCCCCGGTACAGCCAAAACTGCCCCCGGCACCGCCCCGGTACAGCCAACACCACCCCCGGCACCGCCCCGGGCCCGCCCCGGCACCGCCCCGGGCCCGCCCCGGGTCCTCCCCGGGTCCTCCCCGGGCCCGCCCCGGTACAGCCAACACCACCCCCGGCACCGCAAACACCGCCCCGGGACCGCCCCAGGTCCGCCCCGGTACAGCCCGGTACAGCCCCGGTACAGCCCGGTACAGCCCCGTACAACCAACACTGCCCCCGCGACCGCCCCGGGACCACCCCCCTACAGCCAACACCGCCCCCGGGACCTCAAGCACCGCCCCGGCCCCGCAAGCACCGCCCGTGGCCCCCCACGCCGGTTGTCCTGCCCGGCCCCGGGGCTGCCCGCGGGCGCTGGCCGTGGCCAGTGTCCCTCGTGCCGCCCTGGCCCGGCTCCCCTCCGTAGTCCCCGTGGGACCGTTCCCACAGAGTGAGGGCGCGCGATCCTCGGTTTGCACAGTAACGCTCTAAGCTGCGGAATGTTCAAAAAAACACGATTTAAAACGTGGTTTTTTAATATAAATCCTGTGGGCTTTCACGAGCGGGCGCCTCATGAGAGATAAGGCCTCGACTTCTGAGCCCCCTGAGATGCACTAGTGCAGGAGCACAGAGCTCCATTCCCGGTAGAAATTCAGGCGTTGGAAGAGGTTGCCCAGGGAGATGGTGACGTCACCATGCCTGGAGGTGTTTAAGATGCGTCTGGATCTGGCACTGGATCACCACATCTGGGTGATGTGGTTTAGTGGTTTGGGAGTTATAGTGCTGGGTTAGTGGTTGGACTCGATGATCTTAAAGATCTCTTCCAACTCTGATGATTCTATGATACTGTGATTCTAAACACAAATAAACAAACACCACAGTAGTTATCCTGCATATTAACAGGTGGTTTACATTCCATGTCTCCTCAGGTTTTTGACAGCTCATGGAAGAGCCAAGGGCAGAGCCAGCTCTCAGGGCTTCTGCTCAGAAAGTCCTTACAAAGGGGGACCAGGTGAGCTTGAACATCGATAAATATAAAATAGTGCATGTAAGGAGAGGTAATTTAATTAAAGGTACAGGGCAGCCATCTCAAAGCAGCCAGGCACAAGGCTGACAGGTCCTGGACCTAGTGCTGGCAGCCCCGTGTACCAGTTCCCAATTCAACTGTGTGGAGATGTCATGTGAGAAAATGAAAGTGAGGATGAGAAATCCCAGTTCTAATTGCGTATCTTCTCTTCTGCAGGCTTGTTTTCCCTTTCTGATGAAAATAAATCCAAGTACTCCCGTGTTCCAAGAGCTGCAGCAGCTTTCCAAGATCCCACACCACCCCTCTCCACCACTGCTGAAGGAACTGCACAGGAGTCTCAGGCAAGTTCAACTCCACTGCAGCTTTCATCCCAGTCACCTTTTAAGCTCCTTATCTGATTTGCCTCTTCCTTGAGCACCTCTTAAGTCCTCAGTCCTTCCTCTAGTAGTTCCCCTGATACAGAGGCTTTTAACCTTTACAAAGCAGCTCAGCCCTGACACACTTAAGGACTGAAAACTGATCGCACACAAGCGATGTTTTCCCGACCCTTTTCCCTTCCCATCACTTCAGGCAGCAGAAGGAAGTTATTTTGTAAGTCTTTACGTGGTGCCAGAAGCCCAGGCTGCTCCCCCTGGTGCTGCTGCCTTGGCAACCCCTTATTCAGCAGCACATTTACTCTCATTTATTCTCTCTAGGCCAGCAGAGGTGGCCCCTCCAAATTACACCTTTAAGTTTATTCCTGGGGACTTAGTTCAAAAAGAAAAAAAAGCTCATGCCAGTTCTTGGGATATGTGTTTACTGCACCTGAAAATTCCCTTTTCCTGGGCTTTTGTCCACACTATATTAAGCAATAAGCTCCAAGGGCTCAGTGAAAGGTACAGGCATTACAGGTCAAGTACTGCCTTGCACACCAGCTTCTGTTGCCATAATTTATTGGTTGCGGAATTAGACCAGCTTATATAACATGCAGGATGAAGAAAACCAGTCACTTACTACAAAAATATGGATATCCACAGCTTAACAGTTCCAGGAGTGAACAGCAAATCCAGCTCAGGTCTCAGTGCAGGTGGCACATGATGTCCCTACCGGTTTTTTTCTCTCTGGTAAAAGGAATTGCTTTTTTTATGACTAAAAACCATACAGATGACTGAAGACATGAAGTATTTCATTAACCCTATTTGATACTTTGATTACAGCCAGAGAAGCTGCTCAGCTGCAGTAGCACAAGGGACCAGGGAGCTGCTCTATGAACACATCTCAGCGCGACGTGGGAAAGCACTGCCTGGACAGTTTGGAAATCCAGCAGTGTCTCAGGTACCAGTTCCTTTGGGTCTTCAGTCATTTCTGGTTCCAAACAGGGAGCAAAAGGCACCACACCCTCCATGTCCAGGCTGGGTGTGCCTGGACCCACGGCAGCGCTTCATCCACAGCTCTCGGGAAAGGGAGCAAAGCCTGCCTCGCCAGCAGCCTCAGCATTGCTGAGCAATAAATAATCTGAAAAAACCCAGAAAACCCCAAACCCAACCCAACCTATCCCTCATAGTGGAATTCTGTGCACTGTACTACACACCTTGCTACCGAATCAACGCAGAGAACCCCCATTAAAATCAGCAGGAGCTAAAAAAGTGCAGTGCTCAATGTAATCATTCCCATTTTTATCCTTTGTTCATGTCTCTCCATACCATTCTCAGAGGGCACTATTAGGGAACTTCAGGAGCCTGAACTCCTGACTTCCACAACAACAAACCCCAAGAGAAAAGAGATTAAAATTAAAGCAAATTTAAAACCAAAATCATCAAATGCCCAGCATATTTTAAGTCACAGAAATTAAAAGCAGAAGCGTATCTTGGGTTTTAAATGACAACTTATCAGGATCTTTGTTTTGTGTTGACTCAAGAGCATAGATGCACCACAACAATTTTTCTAAGGCTTCTTCCAGTTAATTAGTAGCATTTTTTTTTAGAAAAAGAGGGTTGTTTCTTTTCCATTTCACATCCTAAATAGGTATTTAATTAGCAACAGGTTGCAGGAAGTGTTGTTGTCAGACAGGCTGTAGTACAGCAGAGTGTATTGTTCTTTCCCAAGCATCAGCTGCTCAGTTTTTCCAGGAGTTCTTCCCAAGGATGGCTAAGGTTTGCAGCGCTGCACAAAGCGTGGGTAGAGACAGACATCTCGGATGTGGTGTCTGTTCAGGATCCAGGTCAGGAACCGCTCTAATCCCAAACCATATCCCCCGTGAGGGCACGTACCGTATTTTCTCTGTGAAATTCGAAGCAGAGAGTGGACATTATACATTTTCTTGTTACTTAGAGTTGCACTAATACCACCAGAAACAAACCAATCCTCCCAAGAGGGAAAAACCCCAACTCTGGTGTGTGCCCAGCAGCACGTCTGCTGTACTGACCTGGTCCGTGTACCAGTAGTAGGGGGTGGGATCAATGCCCTCCCTCTTGTAGCCTTCGAACAGCTCCTCGCTGTCCCACGTGCGCATGGAGCCCCCAACAATCTCACCCACGTTTGGCATCAGCACGTCCACCTGCAACGCACCACAGCACATCCACCACTCACAACAGAGCTGCGGCAGGAGGGGAGGACAAGCAGCCTGAATGCGCCACGCCAAGCCAACCACAACAAAGCCTGGCAAGGATCCTCCAAGGATTTCACTGGAGCACTCATTCCCAGCAGCATTCCCCACAGCAGCAAGCACAACTCACAGACTCGGTGAGCCGCGCGTCGTCGTGGCAGCGCTGCATGTAGAACGACTTGATCTCTGCAGGAAAGCGGCACAGCAGGATGGGCTCGTTAATGGTGTCTGTCATCAGTCTCTCGGGGGCTTCAGGAATATCCTACGGTTAGAGAAGGATTTATTAACACCAAAATGCTCCCATGCACCAGTCCCACATGAACCAGGCATGAAACAAAGTCAGGTGCACACCACACCTGTCCACACATTCATCCTAATGTACCTAAATTCTTAATACAAACTTATCATAGAAAAATATGTATTTATATATAAAACCAGACATGTCCAGGGAACAAAATCTGTTCAATTAAAATCTAAGTCTTCCCAATGTTTCAGACAGAAAAGTGGGATAAAAAATCCTGGCTATGGCAGCAAGTTCTCTTGAGCTCCAACTGTCTCGCATGTTGGAGAAGAGCAGACAGGGAACAGGTGACAGGTGACAACACAGGTTTTGATTCCAATGCTCAGGGACATTAGCTGAAATCCCATCTCACAACTGCACTCCTGCATGACATTACCACACCTCCCCGCAGGACCTACCTCCCCAAACTCATAGTAGGTGCCATCTTCCTTCTTCACATCATGTTCCTTCAGCCACTCAATGGCCTCGGCGTAGTTCATGCGTCGGAAGGGACGTTTGGGGGGCTGGAAGCCCTGTGGATAAGAGCAAACATCATTATTCTGCTTCCCCCAAAAGATCACACTGATCAGGAAAGACTAAAGATCCTATTTTTTTTTTTGGCTATTCCCACTGCCTACCGGGTTGAGGTCGTACAGGAAACCCGCTGCAGGTGATTTCAAGACTCTGTCTACGACATCACACACCAAGTTCTCCAGACGGTCCAACAAATCCTCAAAACTTATGAAAGGACATTCAGCTTCGATGTGAGTGTACCTGAAACAGAGTCACACCACTGCAAAACCACACACAGGCAACACATCTTTATGAAATAAACTAAAAATTCCCCCGCATAAACACACACTTCTGTCCCCTTTTTAATTTCCCCCACTCCCACGCTGTGAGGGAAATCAAGCTGTGAACTGTCCATACTCTGCCAAGTGCCTGCGGGTCCTGGACTGCTCGGCCCGGTACGACTGAGCCACGCAGAAGACGTCTCCCAGGGCTGGCAGGCAGGTCTCCAGGTACAGCTGGGAGGACTGGGTCAAATAGGCCTCTTCC